CTCAAAAATGCAGCCTAGGTGGAGTAGTCGAACACAGATCCACTGATCCTTCAACACAGAGCGTCTTCAGAAGACAAGCTGATAAATTTAAAGTATCTGTATTGTTCGATCCAAGTGTGTATTGAACCTAAAGCTCTGTATTGAACGGTTTGATACGGGTACATGTATTGTTGCACCCCTAATGTGTATATATATTTCAATTTTTTTAAATTAACGTGGTTATTTTGACAGAAAAGCCACAATATTTCTGCATGAAGTGACCCAGGATGTTCAGTAAGAGCTACAGCTAGCTGCTGCCGTTTGTAAAATAACTGCAAAACTGACTGCAGTGTAAAGGTTTATGTTCATGTTTTTGAAACTGGGGCAATATTGGCAAAAAATAAATCACGATTAATTGTGGTGTTTAGCAGATAACGATTAATTTACGATTAATGCCCTGGAGTCCCAGGACATCCTTATGTCCTGGTCACATGACCAATTTAGTGGGAAAGATTTGCTCTTCATAAAAATCTGTTCCAAATTGTGTCAAAATTACAGACTTCAGGCTATACATCTAGTTTTTAATTGTGTTGATAGATAAATACATTACAGAAGTTTTTTTTAATGTTTGTCATATTTGAAGTGGAGAGGAGCAGCGAGATGACTGAATCTYCAGTCAGTCTGCCTGCTGGCATTAGTCGTWTTRATCKTCAAGYGCCAAAAAATAATCGATTAGTGTTTTTCWGGCGATTAATTGTACACGATACGATTATGCCCAACCCTAGAATCAAATGGTTTATCCAAACCGAGGTCATCCAAAAAGCCATCTACAGCAGGTAAGATGAGAACTGTTCAGAAGGTTTACACAGAACCCCACTTCAACATGTCTGAACTACTCCTGGACAGGTAACTCCATAATTAAGACTGGTCTGGATCTCACAAGTGAAACAGACGAAAAMGTTCCAGAGAACTAAAAAGTGGCAGTTTGGCTTCATTTTCCCACCCYGCTGAGTACCATCAGTCAGCAAAGCAAACAAGGAAATGTACCGGACCGTTTGTACCTGTAGTATCAAATAAATAACGTGCAGTAAATCAAATAAATAGAAAATGAGCTCTGTAGTCTTGAGTTAATACATGAAGGCGGGCGCGGCGCCACGGCTGAGCGACTCGTACGTGGAGCGGGCCTGCTGAGGCAGCGGACAGCGATGATGTGTCGCTGGTGCATCGACACCGTGTAATACGGTAAAGTGAAAATGTCACCTGTGCAACGTCACTCTGAAGCTGGGATGGACCCGGCTAAAAAGGTTGTACCGTTAGAAATGCATGAAAAATAAAAAGAAGTTTTAAAAAAATACACATGAAGATTTTCTCTTTCCAATAATGAATTATGCACAAGGTTTGAGTAATAAACGAGGAAAGTGATGAGTTCAAGCACAAATTGGCGTGTGAGCTTCTAAAACTGTACCTTAATGCCTGTTTTTTCTTCCCTTTTTTCATACGGCATGGAGAAAATAATAATAATAATAAAAAAAAACACCTGTGCTTGTGTTGACACCCCTCGATTCAAGCACACAGAGTGCTGCCTGATGGATAAATGTGGTAAACTGAGGAGGGGGAGCAGCATCCATCATGTGAGGGAGGTGGAGGAAGAGGAGGAGAGGGGAAATGATTAACAGGACCAGATATGCATAAAAACACACAGCCAAAAAATAAAACATTTAACAATGAAAATAAACAAAAACAAACAAGTGTTTTCAGTCATTTGCAACCAGAGGAGAGCAGCTTCTCAGTGTGGCTGAAGGTTAAAGGTCACAGGGCAGAGAAGGGGGGGAGGGGCCAAAGGTCACCAGCAGAGTCAAGTACCCCAAGAAGAGAGCGATGAGGAGGAAGAGGAGTTGGAGGCACAACGCTGGACCTCTGTCGCTCAATCTGAAAAACACAAAGGAAGAATTTCATTTAGGATTTATGACACTAAGATGTCCAAAACAAAATCTGAATGTGTTTTAATGCAACAGCCTGAACATATGTTAAAAAAGAAAAGGATAGATTAAGTTAGGGAGAGCACAGCAAGAATAAACTCTTCCTATAATGGAGAACCTAGAGCAAAGTGGGAGCAGGTCCCGAGCCCCAGCAGGCAGTCACCAGGCCAGGCTGGCACACACCCCAGCGCCCAGCCCCAGACCCCAGGAACCCACAGCACGCCGGCGGCCAGCCGCACACCCCACCGGGGGTCCGAGTAGCAGCGGGCCCCCAGATAAACCAGCAGTAGGGGCAGCCCAGACCGCAGCCTGACAAATACCCAAACATACACAATCGCACCATCCCACCCTCATCCTCACCCCGACTCAATCAAAGACATACAAGGACGCCACATTCCACTCATACCCCCGATACACACTCTATAACCCACAGGTCCAGGACATGYACCCACCCCCTATTGGAGGCAGCACACACCCAAACCCAGGAGGTAGACCCAATCATTCTGAGGTGGAGAGGAGCAGATAGCCAAGGCCCGACCTGGGCCGCACCAGTACGCCCGGCCAGCACCCCGCCGCAGAGAAGCCACATCTATGACCACCCCAGCACACCACCAATGACCAAGATGACATCAACTAGGTCATCTGTGCGAGGCTGCTAGSGAGCTATATCCACCCTGAAGGTTAATCTTGGACAATATCTGATGATCGACTCTTTTAAATGAAACCAGAGAGCGTTGACAGAGAGGAGAAGGTAGAAATGACGCAGCCTGTAACTGAAAATATAGATGGAGGACAACAGAGCTGCTTCATGGAAGAAGAACCTCAGATTAGCCTGTTAGCCTTCACGCTAGCCCTCACGCTATATTGCCTTATATGTATTAGCTCGGCGCTAGCGCAACAAACAAGCTAAACTGAGGTCTTCCATCCATATTTTCAGTTGCAGCTGAGTCATTTTGTGTTCCCCTCTCTGTCATGTGGATGAAGGACCTCAGTGACGAGAGGAGAATGTGTAGCCCTGAGCTAATACATATATATATGGTGATAGCATCGGGGCTAATGTTAAAATGACCCCATCAGTCTAATTTATTTTTAAACTTTTAAAAATTACAAAAACTGAACATCCTACAGTATTTTTACAGACTTTATTTTACAGTTAGAGTATATGTTTATCAAATAAAGTCTAATGTTACAACTAATCAGGGATCCCTTTAAAGGGTGAAATGTAGTCACAGTGCTGTTTGGCATCATGACGTGTAACACTCTGAACATGGACCACAGAAAACTAAAGCTAGATTTATACTCGACGCATCGTGTAGGGGGCATGAGGGTGCGCGCGCCAAAAGCGACACAATAGAGCTGTCCCCGCCCCTGCACGTTGGCCTCGCGCGCCGTTTTGGCGCGTCGTGCACTAGGGTTGGACATACTCGTATCGTGCGCAATTAATCGTCAGAAAAAAATTAATCGATTAATTTTTGGCACTTGATGATTAATACCAATAATGCCACCTGGTGGTCTGCTTGGTGCTCCTCTCTGCTTCAAATATAACGAACCTTAAAAAAAGGTTCTGTAATTTATTCATCTTTCAACACAATTAAAAAATTGATGTAATGAAGWCTGTAATTTTGACACAATTTGGAACAGATTTTTACAAAGAGCAAATCTTTCCCACTAAATTGGTCATTTGACTAGGACATAAGGGTGTCCAGAGACTCCAGAGGATTAATCGTCAAATTAAYCGTTATCAGCTACATACCATAAGTAATCGTGATTAACTTTTTGTGCCAATATTGCCCAACCCTCGTGCATCTTCGATTTTTTGAAACTCCGCAAAGGCTAGTGCGCGCTGTTGACGAAAGACGCAAAGCTGCTCTTACTGAACGTATCCGGATGTACTAACATTTATATGATCCCTCTATGAGAGATCATAAAGACGTTCAAATGGCACAGAGTGTTTGGAAGGAGATCACTGAAGCGATGCAGAAAGATGAAGGCTTGGAAGAATGGATTGCATGTTCTAGTAAAGTATTAAGCGAATTTACTTATTCGAAAAATTAAACCTAAAGAATGTCTTAGAATTACTCTTTTGATCAGTACTAATAAAAAACTTTATTTTAAATTATTTTTACAATACCATTTGAGGTTTCCAAAAAATAACAGCGAATGTTCTTCTTACACTTATAAAAAAGTCTGTTTCATACCTAATTTTATAGAGTGAAACTGTTGATGACTTGAGAATAAGACAATATGCAAACAAAACTGAGAAGGAAAGTTGCAGGGGATATTTCAATGTAGTTTCATTTTATTTAACATCATTTACACTCCAAAATAGACTTAAAAATTAAAGGTACACGGCCAAAACAGGAGGCATCAAGGGCAAATGTGGCAGATAACTGCACACTTAGCAAAAACAAAAACAAAACAAAACAAAAAAGAATAAAATAGAAATAAAATGAAGTTGTGTGACGTCATACATTTCTTCTTCTATGCCCGTTTTTCTTCTTCTATACCCATTTCTTAAAACCTATGCACAGGTTTAAAGTGTACTGCCACCTGCTGGTCAGTAAAAGAACAGCACTTTGCCGCGCGCCAACTATAAACACAGCRGCGAAACTATAAACGCAGAAGCCGCACGGCTCAGGTGCGCGCGCACTCCGCATGCTCGAGTGTGCGGACCAAAGTGTGAGTATATCTCAGCCTGAAGGAGAGTTTTCTCAGGAGCTTACAAGTAAAACTATTGACACGCACGTTAACGTTGCTCAGATTATTCAGATGTTTAAGGTCAACAAGTCCCATCAACTGTGTGTTCACAGAACCAAAAATGAAACGTAAGAAAACTAACCATCACTTTCTGAGTATGTAGTTAGCTAAATATTGTATAAACACAGAACAGATTACTACATTAACAACAGATTAACTTTTGGAGTCAACCCAAATCAACTCATCTCAGGCTCTGAATCACAACTGAATCAAATCATAAGGTTCCTAAAAACTCAGATTCCTAAAAGACAGACTTTGTTAAATAAGTGAGTGTAGAGCAGCTGAACTTTGGATTCTACTTGCCAGCAGCTGACACACACACACACACACACACACACACACGCACGCACGCACGCGCAAGCACGCACGCACGCACGCACACACCAAAAACAAAGTTTGCTTCCTGGACAGCGATCAAGGCTGAACTCGGGCCGTCAGGTCAGCTGCTGCGGTGAGCCCAGAGGTCCTGAATGACCCGTGCCATGGCTGCCGTCCAGCTGCATTCTTCCACTGAGAGCAAAGCTTTGTCTGACACAACAATGTGAGCGCCACGCCACAATACAGATGCTTTGACAGGGGGGCACTGCTGGAATGCTGCTCCGCTGTTTGCTAACCGCGAGGACGAATGAATGGAGTGATAGAAAGAGATGAGGACGTGTACGAGACTACAAAGGAGGAAGAGTACAGCTTGTATGGACTGTAAACAAAGTGGGTAAACTAATTTTAAAGGAACGTACATCAGTCTGACAGATAAGAGGCCAACTGAGACAACATGAGCAAAAAGAGCATGTCAACATTTCTGTAAACACTGATGCCAAAAATGACTACACCTGCTGATACAGTGACAGTTGACATGAGTGTCCCGACTAACAAGGTTTTCAAAATCTGAGCCGTCTCTTGAGTTGAGAGCTAAAACTTCGGGTTACGAGCCAGCTTCAACCCCACCACTAGCTGGCGCTGGGAACAACATCCTGCGTCTCTATTGTTCGCTTTAAGATGTTAGCTCGCAGTGGTAGCATCTGTGTTCTGTTCACTTTTGTGCTTGGACATTCATTTTCAGGTACAGCACAAAGTGAAGCAACCTATACAGTCACAGGCAGGGGTAGACATAAGGAAATTTTCCATGTTGACAAAATCGGGTTGTCCACCAAATCTTTCGTTGCCCTTAACAAAAATTGTCAAAAAGCTCAAGAAAAATGTAATTTAATAAGCATATTGTTTCGTATTTACTATGTTCTCAGTCCGCMAGTTTGACAGCTACAGGAGATGCTTGAGTAGAACTTTATCATTCAGCTCCTCAACTAATCAATTTAAAAAAATAAATAAATTGTTGAAATTATCCTTAGGTGCAGCCCTAAAAAATAGGTAGTCTCAGACAACCTAAAAGACCTTACGTCGACCCCTGATGGTGAACAATTCAAGTGTTTTATGTATCAGAACAAGATAATGATCCGGTCTTAATCAGGTTCTACAATGAATTAAAGTAAACCTTAAATGATTGAATAAATGCAACAGATTGTAAATTTTAGATTATTATTCTGTGCAGCAGAGGCCCCCAAACTGGATGACCCACTGTCTTACACATTTTAGATGTTTTCCTGCTTCAACACATCTGACTGAAAGAAATGAGTCATCGACTGATTTCTGCTAACTTGATGAAGCGAGTAAACAAGAACAAAAAAAAAAACGTAACACATTGGGGCCATGATGAGGACCGAGGTCAGGGACTTTTACTGTACAAAGTTTAGCTCAATGAGATTTGGAGACATTTAACGCTGCACAGCTCTCTAAAAGGTCCCGCCACATAATTTCACTGAGACTGCAGTCTGGAGCTAGACTGGACCATTGCAACAACTTGATTCTTTTCTCTCAGCTGATTTGTTGCTGTTTGAACTCACATTGCACAACGACCCAGTTTGGTACCAGCTTTAGATGTTGGACAGATGGCCTACATTAGAATCAATCTAGAATACTGTGGTCTTCAGAGAAGTGACTACAAGGTATCCAGGTCTTGTAGCTGCAAAACAAGGCCAAACCATCACCACCTCCATCACCGTGCTGTATGAGTGAAGACATTTTTTGCCAAACCTCGTTGTTCTGCAGGTCTTGTGGTTCATTCGGATGCAGCTGCAGTTGCAGTGAAAACAAAAGCAGTACAAAAATAAATTTTAAAACTAATATTTACTTTATTAC